ATTGGATTTTGCGATTGGTTGTTAATGGAAAACACTTGAAATGTTAATTTTATTAGAAATATTTTGTTTACCAACGACGGCTCCCTTCAGTAGAAATGGAATAACAAACCATCATAACGAGCACATTTGGGCCGACGAAAATCCTCATGCCAAAAAAAACGACTCATCACCAAAGGACTTTCAAAGTTAATGTTTGGGCAGGAATTGTTGATAACAATCTAATAGGCTCAGTATTTCTTCCCAACAATTTAAATGGTGATAATTATTTGCAGTTCTTGGCAAACGATTTACAAAAGTATTTGGAACAAGTGAATATTGCAATAAGGCAAAATATGTGGTTTCTACAAAATGGCGCTCCACCACATTACAGTAATGAAGTCCGGGAATACCTTTGCAGGCAGTATCCTGGTCGGTGGATTGGAGGGAGTCGTGACACACCTATTTCTTGGCCACCCAGAAGTCCAGGTCTTAACCCCATGGACTTTTGCTTTTGGGGGTTCATGAAAGAGAAAGTGTATTCTGTAACAATAGATGACGAACAACAATTGAGGGTTAGAATAATTGAAGCTGCAAATCAATTTCGTCAGAAAAATATGATTTTTCAGCGCATTCGGTTTTCCGTATTAAATCGATACCGAATGTGTATTGAAGAAAATGGGGGTCATTTTGAACATTTATTGTAACATCATATTTATAGCGGTTATAGACATTTTTTGTACTTGTTAATTCATTTAAGCCATTTATTTAGTTGCATGTAATTTTTTAAGGTAATGAAAATTTTCTGTGCGCTTATTTTGTTTCTTTTTTATGAAAAATACTTTCAGAACAAGAAAGTAACGTATCCATTTTTATTACAAAATGTCAAGTATGTAGTTTAGGAGATAATGCAAAAAAAAACAATTTTTATTTTGTAACTTCAAAGGGCTGTAACTTTTTTTGTATACACTTTTGTACTAAGGTAAGTTGGATTTAATCAATTTATTTTTGTCCCCGAATGCGTGATTTAATTTATGACATACCTTTTTGAAACACCCTGTAAGCTATAAGCCTAATGTCTATGGCTAGTATGTCGCTAATTTTTTTGAATGTTATTGCACAAACATCTTTATTTTATAAATATAAATTTTGGGCAACCGATTTTTTAATCTAAAATTTCCTTAACATATGTATATTTTAATACTCGCAAAGGTATATTTTGTCTATTATTTATTTTAAAAGAGAAGTATTATCGGTGAAGCCACGCTGTCCAGCGTGGACGTTTTAGGATCCATTTATCCGTTGTGAACTTCTTCACACAGTGGAAATATTAATTTTCGAAAAGAAAATATTTACTTTGTTTGGGAAACGTTGTTTACGATGCCTATAAGAATAAGAGACGGATTTATTTAGAATCAAGAAATACTTATCCTCAAATAATGGTAGCCTGACGTCACAGTAATATGGTGTATTGCTTTCGAGCCGAGTCAAATGCAGGGCTGTATTGTTTTAAAGTTCTTCATATTTTTTGTATTGGTTGTAACATTGGCCAATTGCTTTCAAAATCAGAAGGCATAGTTCATTTCAATAGCTTCAAGTACCATAAACACTTATGGAACAACCTTCAAGATAATTCAACTCATTTGAAATACAGACACATCGTTTGGGTCAGATCAATACATACTCTGTAGAATTTTGAGGTATATGTTTCTTATGGGAATATACCCTACAAATTAATTACTATTAAACTGGGAATAAGCCACAATTAAAGATAAAAATACGTTTATTGACGTTTCAATTTCCACTTCGGAAATCGTTCTCAAAATACAAACAGTAAATTAAACAAATTTTGTTTTTTGTTACATAGTGAAAAATTCTTCTAATAATTTAATTTTATCTGACTCATTTATATTGACAATTCAGACATACATTATGCATTTTAAAGTAGACGACTTTAAAATGATATTGCCAATATTGTTGAGTTGCGCTCCTGGGACGACTTTACTTATAAGACAGTTCATTCGATTACATGAAATCAACTTTAACTTGAGAATATCCGTCAGAAAAAAAATCATAGCATGTAATTCTTCTTTAAAAAGACAAACACATGACATGATGACAGTAAAATTCTCCTGTTAGTGATTCCATAGTAAATTATGAGGGAAAAAACCAGGAAAAAAACCTCATAATACTATGACTCCCGACATTGTAAGTATTTGTTCGTGAATTTAGTTTACCTTCAACAAACATCAAAATTCTGATTTTATGTTACGTTATTTAAAAAACATAAATGATGTTTCCTCTATATGTTACTGACTTACTAATACTGGTATTTTCTTATTAATAACTTCCTCTTTCAATATTGGTAACCAGATCCTACTACATTCTGCCGAGGAATTTGCTACACAATTGGCCTCATTTAGCATAATTTCAAATCAAATCACAATATTAATGTAAAAAAGGGAATAATTAAATCCTTATACGATAGAGCCAAAATTACTTGTTCTAACGAAAATTCGTTCTTTGAGGAGAAACATTTGTTAACATCTGTTTTATTAAAAAATGATTATCCTTTATCGTTTATAAATAAGGAATTTTCAACACTCGATCGAATAGAACAGAACAACTTAGAACGAGATCCTACAGCATACACAAGGAATAATATGAGGAAAATAACAATACCGTACATAAAAGGACTATCAGAAAAACTTAAAAGGATACGAAATAAATTCAAGATTTCAACAACATTCAAAACAACAAACACGTTGAGATCTATTTTGTCCAAAACCAAACCTAACAATGAACAAGAAAGGACAAAGAATTGCATTTATAAAATACCTTGTGAATGCGATCAGTTTTATTTAGGTGAATCATCAAGGCCCTTAAATGTTAGAATAAGTGAACATCAATCTTATATTAAAAATAGAGAATTTGATAGATCTCAAATCTGTAAACACGCATGGGATAATGAACATAGGGTTCAATGGAATAATTCAAATGTAGTCCTAAAAGAAACGGATGGTAAAAAAAGAAAAATCAAAGAAGCGGCTCTAATTATGCTAAATGAGGCCAATTGTGTCGCAAATTCCTCGGCAGAATGTAGTAGGATCTGGTTACCAATATTGAAAGAGGAAGTTATTAATAAGAAAATACCAGTATTAGTAAGTCAGTAACATATAGAGGATACATCATTTATGTTTTTTAAATAACGTAACATATAAAATCAGAATTTTGATGTTTGTTGAAGGTAAACTAAATTCACGAACAAATACTTACAATGTCGGGATAGTATTATGAGGTTTTTTTCCTGGTTTTTTTCCCTCATAATTTACTATGGAATCACTAACAGGAGAATTTTACTGTCATCATGCCATGTGTTTGTCTTTTTAAAGACGAATTACATGCTATGATTTTTTTCTGACGGATATTCTCAAGTTAAAGTTGATTTCATGTAATCGAATGAACTATCTTATAAGTAAGTCGTCCCAGGAGCGCAACTCAACAATATTGGCAATATCATTTTAAAGTCGTCTACTTTAAAATGCATAATGTATGTCTGAATTGTCGATATAAATGAGTCAGTTAAAATTAAATTATTAGAAGAATTTTTCACTATGTAACAAAAAACAAAATTTGTTTAATTTACTGTTTGTATTTTGAGAACGATTTCCGAAGTGGAAATTGAAACGTCAATAAACGTATTTTTATCTTTAATTGTGGCTTATTCCCAGTTTAATAGTAATTAATTTACAATGCCACAAGAAAATAGCTTCAGAACAATATACCCTACAAATATTCAGACAAAAAATTTAAAACAAAAGTTTATACAAAAAATCAGTCCATAATACGGATATCTGATATGGTGGATATAAAATATTTACCAGTATACTTAACCATAGACAACCGTCGTACAGAAGATCATTGGGACACTATCAGGCAGGATTTAGGCAAGGAAGATCAACCATCGACCGACTATTCACGGTTAAGTAAGGTTAAGTAGGTTTTAAGAAACGCCTGGAAACATGACATAGATATCCATAATATTTTCGTCGAATATTTATACAAAATATTAAGTAAATTTGAAATATCGTCCAAACTAGTTAGGTTTGTTTGAATGAGGATAACGGACATACTGGCTCAGATACAGATACAACATGAGATGACAAACCCATTTCAAATAACATGGATTAAAATAGGGTGATGGGTTGGCACCAACATTATTTAATTTAGCACTGAAATACGTAGTTAGAAAAACATCAGAAGGTAGAAACAACACACTTATCAATAAATCAGTTAAACTGGTAGCATATGCAGAGAATGCGTTTACGAAACTTAAATTACATGGTAAACAAATAGGTCTATCAATAAATACAAAAAAGACTAAAATCCTAGTAACAAGCCGATAGAAGAGCTAAGCTAAGCACTACCTAACCTGACAGCCCAAAAAAACTGTTGAATGCAATAATGCAGGAGAATAAACTTATTGGAAGATCGAGCGATGGGAGGATAATGTACCGTAACGAATTGAGATGTTTACTGCGGGAGGCCATGGCTCGAATTGGGGTATAGAGCCATAGGGGGGATAAGGATATAGATCTGAATAGAATTGTATGGAACTGAACCTGTCAGTGCAGATTGTATTGTTATTTTATGGAATGGGTTAAAAAGTGACTATATTACTGTTTGTATAAGGGTATTAAATACAATAAGAAATTTATCATTTATCACTCAAAAATCTTCTTTTGTATAGTATAATAATATTTGTAGTGTATTATTAGCAATACAAAATGTAACATTGGTTTTTAGTGGGATCTCTTTTCATTCAATATATATGTGCCTTTGTTTTTAGTTGGTGATATGTTGTGCGAATATATTATAGAAGCGTTTAACATATTTTTGTTACTATTGTGTACGAATAACCTAATGTTGTTTTGTGTTTGTAATAACCAATAAAAAGCTTTATTGAGGCTTTGTGGAATAACCGTTTATTAGTATTGCTCCCTACTATTATGATTTATTTCTAGACCATGGAATTCATCCTCCAGTTCACACACCCTGGGAAGCACCAAATATACCAGACACAGACCATACTTTTAAGAACTGTAGTGGAGTTTACAACGTGTATATGAACAAAGAGGATATGGAAAATAACAAACCCTGTAATTATGAATATCCTGATGTTATAACATTTACTGATGATTTTTATACTATGTGTAACATGATAGCTGATGGACCATTGTAAGTATATCAGTATGTGTTTTTCTTTTTATTTAATATGGTTTTCATGTAGGTAGATAATTTTTAGTTACGTAAAGTCGGTGTCTTACTCACTTTATTTTTCTGTTCGGATATTATTGTTCTCATTAATTTTACTAGCTGTCGGTTTTCCACTCTGTTTAGAGTTTTTTTTGAACATTTTTGTAAATTAACATTTTGAGGATATGAAACGTAGGGTTTCGTATCTAATATTAAATATTAGATACGAAAACCCTACCAACACATTCAACTCTCTTGTGTGTAGGTGGTGCGTAGACTACATATTTCATGGCTTATTCATGTAAGTGTGAAGTGCGTGTACCGTTGCTCTTAATGACTACAGTACAGTTGACACTTTACTTCGCTTGTATGTAAATTAACTTTCTTCCTAATATTTTTGTTCTTAAAAGAACATGTTTGGATGTTTTACATCTGCCAGGCGTACCGTTCGGACGGCATTTTTGTTCTTTGCTAATATTTGCTACAATGGATTTGTTTATTGGCCAATTAGTTAAGTTTATTGCTCATAGAGAATACTCAAAATTTCATGGACATCCCATACCTCAAACGAAGAAGTGCTGCATAGAATAGGCAAGGAAAGAGAACTTTTTAACACAGTAAAAGTTAGAAAAACATCATACCTAGGCCACATACTGAGAAATAATAGTAAAGTACCAATATGCCCAACTTATAGTGAAAGGAAAAATCGAGGGAAAGAGAGGCCTAGGAAGGAAAAGACTATCGTGGCTCAGAAACATCCGACAATGGACAGGGCTAAATTTTGAACAGCTAATAAGAACAGCTGAAGATAGAGAAGAGTTTAAAATTGTAGTAGCCAACCTCCATTGAGGAGAGGGCACTTTAAGAAGAAGAATTGCTCATACACTCTTGAACTTCATGTAATTTTGAGACATATTTAATTATTTCTCTTACTTCTGTGTTTTTATTTCGAAGTATTGTAGTTTTAACATTTGTTTCTTTCTCATATATTCTATGTCGTTATTTGGTCGGTTTGTGCTTTATTATTTTCATCTTGTGTACTTTATATGTTTATAAAAAAAATCTTCTGGTATATCTACTTTCTTCTTTTAAGTCTTGTCTGCTGCTTTTTCAGTTAGTGTAGTGTAGTGTAATTTTGTTACGTATTTTTCTATCTGGTTTAAATGTCTCATGACTTTATGCTCATGTCTGTCTTCCATGTATATCGAGTTCTGTATATATCCGAGGTAGACGAGACAAGAACAAGCATATAAGAAAAATCTGCAGTGAGATTCCACAACATGCCGACACAAAGAACACCAAAGAACTCATTAATAAAGTCAGATTACTCACCGGTAAATTTATCAGAAATCTTGGTCTATTAAAGATGATGAAGGCAATGTACAGACGGATTTTGATAGGTTGTAAATGTTTGGAGGGCGAATTTTAATTCTTTATACGCCGATACGGATCAAATGCCCGTGGACATCAGGCAGTATGTACCTGAACGTCAGATCTTCACTTTCCACTTTTCCTCACACTCCTCTCACTGACACAGACAACACAGTCTTTGAATCTGAACCCGACATACCTTTTTCCGAGGGTAAATTTGCTCTGAAAAGTAAATCTTCTATATATTACTATACATAGACTTCTAGCTCTAATATACGCCCGTAAGGTTATCCTCTACATCCTGCAACGTCGTCTAGAAAACTTCATAAGTTTGAAAATAGCCCCTGAGCAGGCTGGATTTGGGAAGGACAGAGGTGCTAAAGAACAAAACCTTAATGGAAAAATATCAGAAAAAATGTAAAAAACCTCAGATATTTATAGGTTTTGTTGATTATACAAAAGCTTTTGATAATGTTAGATGGGACAAACTATGGAATCTACTGACGACCATGGGTGTACTCAAATCCTTGACCCACCTTAGTAGCAAGCTGTATCAAGAAAACCTGGCATATATTCGAACGTACGGATGCCTAACTGACGAATGCACTTTGGAGAAAGGAGTACGCCAAAGATGCGTTTTATCTCCCTTATTATTTAACATAAATACAGAGTAATCTAACTTGCGTTTCGCAGACCACACTACACTTCTAGCCTATACTCTAGAAGAAATTAACTAATTAAAAAAACTCGAGGTAGAAAGTGTTTGGACTTATGGTTAACTGCAACAAAACCAAAACCATGGTTATTGATCACCAACAACACTGTACTTAAACCCGAAATATTGCGCGGTGGGAGTTATTTTCCGCTATGATATATCTTGGAGCTCTAGTTAACTCAACAGACAGTTGCGAATCTGAAATTCGAAGACGCATACAATTAGCAAGAGCAACTATGACGTGATCGTCACTTTACTATGACAAACAAGAAGGGACTCGTTTTAACTTTGGTCTTTTCCATATTTTACTATGCATGCGAGACATGGACAGTGTCTCTAGTGCTACTTACTCTAGAAAGTTCTTTGGTCATATACATCAAATTGATTACAAAATGGAGCGGTTCAATGATCATCAACTACAACAGATCTGCTAAGATGTTAATGACTATGAGGATGATGATATATCCGAGGTAAATTGATCTTAGAACCCTTAGTGAATATTTTAATAAAGTTAACACTGAAAATAGAATTATAACCACGAAATGATCAACGAATCGCAATTAATCGCTAAGGTCTGCTTACCGTTATGCTGAATTCAGTACTGAATTTAAAACTAAAAAGACTGTATCTACAAATTTCATGCGCGCGCCAATTCAGTACTAAAAATTAGAGCATGTTCTAATTTCTTAAACTAAGGTCCGCTTGCCATTATGCTAAATTCAGTACTGAATTTAGCACTAAAAATATTGTATCTACAAATTAGGTGCGCGCGCCGATTCAGTACTAAAAATTAGAACATGTTCTAATTTCTTGTACCAAAAATGATCCAATATTAACTAAAACTGAGGTTATGTTACGTATGGTTATGTGTTTAAATATGTGGAGTAAAAAGCAAATGGAAAATTTAATCGAACTATATAAAGTAAATCCTTGTCTATATGTGCCAAAACATCCATTATACAAAAATAGAAATGGGAGAGTAAAAGCTTTGGAAGAAATAATGGCGGAATCGTACAAACTCCTGTTTGTTTTGTTTACTCTAATCATAAAACTATAAAACAAACTTCAGATAGGTTGGACTGTCAATACAAAATTGGTAGAGCGCATGCCTACAGGCTAATTAAAATCAAGATAGTTGCAAACACCAACATACATTTTTCATACTAAATCGACTCGCGCAACTAACTAATATTTTTAGCACAGAAATCAGTACTGAAATTAGCATAATGGCAAGCGGACCTAAGAATGATGAAATATTACCTAAAAGTGAGGTTATTCTCAGCTAGTCGTAACAATTTTTTAAACAAACTATTATTCATTCGTAAAAAGTTTTTATATGCCAAAGGCCAAAGGGTCTTCTATTTAATGGGTCTTAAAAAGTTAATGAGTTTTTTCTTAAGCATCATTATTACAAGTAAAGCTACTGCACATACTTTTAACTTCTTTTTCACCATCATTATTTACCTGTGTGTTTTGTTTACTTTAATCATAAAACAAACTTCATTGTTAGGTTGTAGAGCGTTAGGTTATCAATACATGCTAATTAAAATTAAGATAGTTGCAAACACAAACCCGAATTTTTCATACTAAATCGACTCGCGCAACTAACTAATATTTTTAGTACTGACATCAGTACTGAAATTAGCAAATGGCAAGCGGACCTAAGAAAGGGCTCTTTTTTGAGATCCTTAATATAACTGTTAATAAAATTAGGAACTGTAGGAAGATCGTTTTGATGTATTGTGCGCAAGTTCATTGAAAAGTCCGAAATCTGGGACATATGTGTCAAAAGTTCAAATATTTTGTATTGTGGAAAACTTAGCAATATAATATTAAATAATAGAGGAACACAATAACACTGTCAGGGCTAATAATGATCTAGGAGTAAACTTTGACTCAACTGGATCGAACAACTAAAAAATAGATAAATCGACTCGCGCAACTAACTAATATTTTTAGTACTGACATCAGTACTGAAATTAGCAAATGGCAAGCGGACCTAAGAAAGGGCTCTTTTTTGAGATCCTTAATATAACTGTTAATAAAATTAGGAACTGTAGGAAGATCGTTTTGATGTATTGTGCGCAAGTTCATTGAAAAGTCCGAAATCTGGGACATATGTGTCAAAAGTTCAAATATTTTGTATTGTGGAAAACTTAGCAATATAATATTAAATAATAGAGGAACACAATAACACTGTCAGGGCTAATAATGATCTAGGAGTAAACTTTGACTCAACTGGATCGAACAACTAAAAAATAGAAATAAAAGTAGAAAAAACCAATATTCTGCCACAATAATATTTTATGAAAAAAAAAACAGTATAAAGAAAATAAAATTAAATATATTTAAAACTGTAATACAAAGCAGTTATTGCATGAATCTGAAAATTGGAGACTAACAGAGATATATAAAAAATATTATCAGCTGTTAAAATGGATGCAATCAGAAGATCACTCAGGATTTCTTCAAGAAAAGATATGACACCTTTAAAGAACTTATAGGTTTTAAAGGAACCATCACCAATGATATCGAGAAAAAACAGTTGACATAGTATGGAAACACACAACGTATCTCAGAAACAAGACTTCTTAAGCAAATAATGAACTGGCAAACGACAGAACGTCGAAAAAGGTTAAGGCCAAAAACAGATTGTGACTAAAGCCATGAGTGTCAGAAATCTGCAAGAATGGACTGGTATTGGTGACCTTGTTGTGTTAGCTGCCTAGCCTATTTTCCGTTCTGTGGTTGTGTTACGTATGATATAATCTAGTGAGGAATTACTTCTTTTCTACTTCTCCTTCTTTTTCTACAAAATGCAATAATACTGTATCCCTGGACCCTGTAGTTTTTTTTTATTTTAGCCTTAATATACACATTGATACTGAATCCTTCCATTGCAATAAATAATAAGTTCTAAAGAAAGTGCTTTATTGTGCTGAAGGTTCGCCTGTAGCGGCCCTGATTGGAGTCATTGCCACCTATTTGCGCAGAGATAGAGTCTGCGACCATGGTCGCCTACTTTATGATACAAAAAGATAAACGACTAACAAAAATAAATGAATCTCAGACTAAGGGATATGATGAACTAAAAAGGCTGTGGGTCTAATTTGGAAAAGTGAAGCTCGGAATGGAAATAAGTGAAACGTCTTGAAGGACTTCTATGTCCTATTCCGGATGAAAGACAGTTAAGAGAGAGAATATTAGAGTTTCATTTCAGTCGGAGAACAGATCTATTGTATTTTGATATTATTTATTATATATATATATATATATATATATATATATATATATATATATATGTATATTGTGTTAATCACAGCTGATTAAGTTAGAAAATAAACCAAGTTAGACTCTTTGGGTAAAAACAGCTGAAAGGATAGACTAAGTGTACTGCTGATGATGTTGATGACTATCAACGAAATATTGGACCAATAAAGGACTAAAGAGTACACTTAGCCTATCCTTTCAGCTGTTTTTACCCAAAGAGTCTAACTTGGTTTATATATATATATATATATATATATATATATATATATATATATATATATATATATATATATATATAATATATATATATATATATATATATATATATACTTCATCTAATTTACTTACCGTTGCACGTTATTATCCATCATTGACAGAGATCGAAGTTGACATAGTTGCTCATAGCTGACATAGTATGACAAGTATAAAAAAATCCTGATTCCATTTTAAATCAAATAGGTCACATAATTATTGCAAAAGTATTATCATCTCTTTACAACGACTATTTAAATTCTTACGGGACATTTTTGAAATAAAAACTAATTTTGTTCTAAAAATAACACATTTTATTAAATAGGTAAAAATATAAAACAAGAGGTATTCACTTTAAAATTCAAAATAACACAACAACACCGCAACTGTCAAATAAGTGTTACCAATGTATGCCAAAATTTGACCTTCGTTTGATTACAGTTACAGTGTGTTCCGAACAAATGTTCTTCATAAAAACGCTTTATAATTCATTTATACAAATTGAGTGAAACATATTATTGTGTATTTCTTTAAGTTAACATTAATAGAAATCTTTAAATATTATTTCTAGGCATATATACTAAAATATGTCTAGTGGCTGTAATGCCAGTGTACTCGGCAAAGTAATTCTAAAAAAGAACACACCTACTGTCTAAATATTTCATGTTGGTATCATGTGACGTCACGGGCTATGACGCCCATGACGTTCATCGGTATGTAAATTAAATGAAGTATATATATACATCTGTTTGCACTAATATTAGTATATTAACCTTTTTATATTTTTAGAAAATCATTCTGCTATCGGCGCTTAACATATTTATCATCTAAATTCCAATTGCATGTACTGCTCAACGAACTTAGAGAATTGGCTTCACAGAAGGCTGTACCACATCGAGACTTCTACAATATCCGTAAGGTAGACACCCACATACACGCAGCGTCGTGTATGAACCAAAAGCATCTTCTGCGATTCATTAAAAAGACTTTAAAAAATAACGCAGAAGAAGTAGTTTCAGTAACGAAGGGAGTGCCTATGACTCTTCGTCAAGTCTTTCAGGTAATGCAGAATCAGGTGATTATACAGTTTTAGGTAGAAGTGGAACTTTGGTAACACAAATAGTTATTAAACCGATTAACGTTATTATTACTCGTAGTTATATAGAAAATAGCTGGTATTTTTTATTAATCAAATTTACTAGTTAATACTTCAAATATTTCTAAACAGACTACACGATATCACAATGACCATTATACTCCTTTCGGGGGTCAGGACTGATCAGGGTGAAGCTTCAAATAATTTTTTTCATATGCCATGACTACTTCACTGCTAATGATATTTTTTAAAAATCGATCAGCAGTTACTTTTCGAACTGTTATTATTCTGTTATGCTGTCTTTCTTGACTATATATTAGTCTACATGTAGCATTAAACAGATTAGTAAGTTTAAAAAAATATATTGCCTCACAAAAAAAATGATCATTACATTTTGTTATGATCTCGTAACTCATTATTCGCTCTCTCTGCGTGTTTCTCGTAATTTTTCTTTCTCATTATTCTCATTTCTAATATTTCCAGCACCTTCTGTGTTTTTGCTGTGTCGTGTCTTGTTTCTGATGCGTACGTCATTATTATTCTTATGCTGGCCTTATAGATCCTTCATTTTATCTCACAATTAATGTCGATTGTGCCATATAGAGTTATTTAGGCATCCTTTTTGTACTTGATCCCTTACTTCTTTTTCAACGTCTCCATAGCTGGACAGTGTAATTCCTAGGTACTTTATTTCCATGACTTGTTAAGTGCTAACTCCATCAACTTCTAGTTTCCATCTGATTGGTTATTTACTTATCACTATTCTTCTCATTTCTGAGGTAAAATCGTCTTGTTAAATTCTTTTGCTCTAGTGCTAAATCTGGGAACTAGTCTTTAAAGGCTTTCTTCTTTTTGGACTATCAATATTGCATCGTCTTCGTAACAGAATTTTAACTTCATTGTTTTCCATTCCACATCTTCTTCCTCTGTTGACGCCTTTTATAAATTCATTAATGATTATATTGAATATTATAGGGGTCAGTAAATCCATCTATTCTGACTTCCATCTTGTTGTTTTGATAGATGTTTTCAAGTGTTTTTATAATATTTAGCGGAATCTCTTTGGTATACACGAGATCTATTACATATTTAAATTACACTATCAAATACTTTCTTCATGTAAATCGAACATAGGAATGCATTGTATTTTAATGCTTTCTCTGCTACCTGCTTTATGATGAATATTGCATCTATACACGATTTGTTATAATGAAAAAATCAATAAAACAAGGAATATGGAATATTAAAAGCCTATTAAGAGAAGGAAAGGTTCATAATGTAATTCAAGAAATGAGCAGGAATACTATTGAAATATTAGGATTGAGCTAAGTAAGATGGCCCGGTACAGAAAAGAGGAAATTGATGACCATGCTATCTATTTCTCTGGATGAGAAAATAACTGTCCTCAACAATATGGCGTCGCATGTATCATACCCAGAAACATTGATAAATCTCTAGAAAACATCTCCCTTAGTCCAAAAGGATTGCGCTACTACAACTTAAATGAAAAAACACGATGCTCAATCTATACAAGTACATGAACCCACAGCAGACAAAGAAGAGGTAGAAGAATTTTATGCAAGAATAACGGACATCACAAAAAGCCTCAATAAACACCACATCAACATTATACTAGTCGAATTTAATGCAAAAATAGGCAAGTAAAAAGTAACTAATATCACTGACAGATACGATCGTCTGATACAAATTTGCCAAGAAGAAGAATATGTGGTATCAAACACCTGGTTTAAGCTACCTCCCAGGGGAATCTATACATTGAAATCACTTTAAGAAAATAATAAAAATATTGTAAGGAATCAAATGATTTTGCTTTCATTAATCTTAGATTTAAATCAGGTATCCAGAGTGCAAAAACCTACCCAGGTATGGACGTAGGATCAGACCAGAATCCAGTCGTTATCAATCTCAGATAAAATCGGAAAACAATACGCCGAAACAATCTAAAGAACTGCAATATTAAAATACATCAAAGCGAAGCTAATAAAGGAAAAGTAGCAACCAAACTTAATGACGATCTAATAAAAACAATCATAACAGGCGGTGAAGAAATAGAATACATAGGGCCAACCATAAAAAATACAATAGTTAGAGGACAAAGAGAACAGCTTAAGAATACCAAAAGTAAAAAACCCGAAGATATTTTGGAACTCATGGAAGAAAGAAGAAAGCACAAAAACAACCCACATCTACATAAATAAATCCAAAAAACCATAGATTTAAAAATCAAAGAAGCAACAGAAAAGTGAATAAATGAAACGTATGCCGAAATAGAAAACCTAGGCAACAAACATAATACATTTAACCTCTACAAAAAATTAAAAGGAACCTCACAACAAAGGAAGAATAATTATAAAAAGAAACCAAAACATTCAAGTTTGGGAGGAAATTATCGAAAAATCCTGTGACGATGACACACCTGAATTGCAACAGACGTGGGAAATGGAAATACCCCAATTCTAGACATAGAGGTAAAATATGCCATACAATGTGCAAAGAATTGGAAAGCTTGTGAACCAGACGAAATAGAAATATATGTAACAAAACTGATGTGTGATAACAGCATAAATCTCTCTTACATCAAAAATTTGTGAAAGGAGCAGTTCTCTCTTTCAAATAATATAGTCTATTATGGATCTTTGTTTCCTGGTATTTTCAAAAGTAGTCTGGTTCTTTGTGAGAGAAAAAAGTATTATTACTACGTAATTCGTTTGTGCTGCAGAGGTCAGTCAGAAGATCTCTGTTTTCATATCTGACATCCTTGTTTTATCGTTGTTTGATCCATGATAGGTACTATGTCATCACGATCACGGGTGTTCGTCAGTCATCAAGTCATTCATAATAAACATATATTCATTCTGTGAAAATTCGTTTAATGTGCTCTGGACGTATTTGTATTCTGTTGTCCTCAGGTGCATAAATTGCTATCACATTAAAGGACTTGACATCTAATTTAATCTTCATGGGAACTATTTTTTCTGAGACACATTTACAGCCTTCTACTTGGTTTCCAAGTCTCTGGTGTACTAATTGGTGGCTTCTTCTTTGTCTCAGATTTCTTTTGCAACATCACTGCAATGATGTTGTTGTTAGTTAAGTTAAGTTAGTTAGTTCTTCTCTTTAAGTTCGTTGGTTATTTCTTGTTCTCCTGTGGTTAGTGATTTTACGTTTCACGTACTAATTCGAAGAATATTTTTCGATTTTAATTTATCTCGCGTTGGTTGTAATCGTTAAATCAGTCCTGTTCTGATGCATAACTCTGTCTTTGTTTGTTTTTATTATTATATAGAACTAAATTAAAAATATATATATATAGCTAGAGCAATTATAATGATGTATTCTTCATATTCGTGAAAAACATTCTTAATGCGACTTTATTTCGATCCGTAAACTTTTGTAATAATACTTCATAATGTCCCTCTATAATAGTAGTATACCATACTGTAATAAGTGTTTTTTTCTTTAATACAACACCTACTTTTATGTCGTTTTAATAACAAATGTTGCTACCTCAGTTCTAATTCTAAATAAAAAGTATTTTTTTCTACTCACTTATTTTGTAGTCCATGAATCTTACAACATACGACCTCACCGTTGACATGTTGGACGTCCATGCCGATCGAAATACTTTCCACAGATTCGATAAGTTCAATGCTAAGTATAATCCCGTAGGAGAAAGTAGACTACGCGAGGTTTTCTTAAAAACGGATAACTACTTGAATGGAAAATATTTTGCCAATATCATCAAGGAAGTTGCTAGCGATTTGGAAGAATCCAAGTATCAAAATGCTGAACTGAGACTTAGTATTTATGGAAAAACCAGAGATGAATGGGATAAATTGGCTAAGTGGGCTATAAATGAGAACGTTTATTCCGATAACGTCCGTTGGTTGATTCAAGTTCCTCGACTTTTGTAAGTATTTTTGAAATTATATTCGTTATTTACTTATTTTTTGATTTATTCAGTTAGCAGATATCAAACTTAACGATTCTCTTGAAAAATATTCTTTTTAAAAAACGTTGTTTGCTACAGATCACGACTTTTATACATCAGCACTTCTAGCCGAGCAGGCTCATGGTTTGGTTTACAATTTTCCTCAATTTCCACTCGTTCATCGCTTTTTTTTCAGTTGCTTAAATTGAGGAACCTCGGGTCGTCATTAACTTCATGACTCCATCTGGCCCTAGGCCTTCCTTTTCTCTTTTTACCATCTATTACAGCGCTTAAAAATAATTTTGTCATTCTAACTTGGGTCTTTCTTAACATATGTCCTAACCATCTAAGTCTTACTACTGTAATTATATTGGGCTCTTTATATAATTCTTCCAAATCTTTGTTTGTTCTTCGCGTCCACTGATTGTTTAACTTTTTTCCGGTAAATATCCTTGGAAGTATTATTCTTTCCCATACTTGCAGCATTGATCTCTCAGTTTTTGTCATAGTCCAGGTTTCTGTGGGGCATACGTAACCATTGTTCTTATTACAGTTTTATATCCTATTTTTTTAAATTTAGTTGCTTTGGAAATATTTTTGCTTTTGAGTATTCTATTGAAAGGATGCATGGAACCATTTCCTGGCATTAGTCTTCTTTGTATTTCCTCCGGGATACTTTGTTTACTCGAAAATATAGTCCCTAAATATTCAAATCTCTCTTCTTCTTCCCCAGCTTTTCCCTTTTCAGGAGTCGCTGTTTCTTACTCTTCGTCGCCACTCATTTCTGCCAATCGGGTCTTCTTCAACTAAACCTTTCTCTCTCAAGTCCTCTACAACACAGTCCTTCCATCTTCTCCTCGGTTTTCCTCTACCTCTTCTTTTATCAACTTCTAACAGCTCTATCCCTTGTTCCAGATAGTTTTCATCTCTATGTCTGACATAACCAAACCATTGCAGTCTTTTTTTTAACATTCACCGTAACATTTTCATTTAAGCTGCCTCCATCTTATTTTACTGGATTTTATTTACAGGCCACACTTCACTGCCGTACACCACCGCAGAACTCACCACACTCTTGTATATCTTACCTTTCAGCCCTTCCCCGATTTTTTTATCACAAACTACCCCGCTCATCCGCTTCCAGTTAAACCAACCAGCCTGTATCCTGTGGGCAATATCTCGATCTAGTGTAACATTTTCCGCTATTTAGAAGCCAATATATTTAACATCCGCTTCCAGTTAAACCAACCAGCCTGTATCCTGTGGGCAATATCTCGATCTAGTGTAACATTTTCCGCTATTTAGAAGCCAATATATTTAATTTCTCCTACTCGTCCTAGCTTTTCTCTAAGCAGTTCTACGTCCCCAACCATTCTTTTTCCTTCCAACCACATATACTCCGTTTTCGACCTGCTAACCTTAAGTCCTCTCGTTTGAATAGGCCTTCTGCAACACTCCAACTTCTCCTAGAACATTTCATTATTCTCATTTACTAACATAATATCATCAGCAAAGGGCATTTACCAAGGGGCCCCCTCCCTTACTTTCTCTATTAGTACACGCATAACAATATTAAACAGGTAAGGACTCAGTAAAACGCCTTGATGCAAACCAATCGTCACCGGAAAACTTTCGGTCAATCCGACAGCAGTCCTTACTTTGGTCCCTCTTAGATGAGCCTTACATTACTTCTTAGGAACCCATTCCTTTCTCATACATATCCATAGCTCTTATCTAGGAACTGTGTCGTACGCCTTCTTAAGATCTTTTCTTCTCGTTGGTTTTCTCTATTTCTCCACCACCAAGTTTCTTCTCCATTGTTGGCTTCTCATCAGTCATTCACTGTATTTACTACATCTTCAAGAACTCTCGAATTATTATCTTAACAACGAATTTCCTGCACACAAATTACACCAATCCTTTTCCTCTGCATGAAATCGGCGAGCTCTTCCTTTAACTGTCATGCTTCCGATGTTTAGAGTTGCAACTGTCAGGATTAGCTTCTTTGGTCCCTTCCGTCCTTTAATCTAAGGAATAGCTTACTTTTTGCAGGGGTCAGGCGAAGCCTGATGGGACGAGGCTTAGATCTACCTGTTCAAATTTATACATTTTTCCTACCTACTTATACATTTGTCCCACCATTCCATATACTTAGTTATTGTTTCGTTTATATAGAGTCCTTTTTGTCGAGCTACTTTTCTAGTTGTTCCACTACCTTTTTTAAGTCTTTCTTGCTTCTGAACAGAATTACTACAACATCCGCGAATGCCATGTTTTTAATGATATATGGGACCTGAGTTGTTAATATTAGTCTCTTTTATTACCATTTTCAATACTATATTAAATAACAATGGATCTCTTTGTCGTACTCCTCACTTCAAATTTTTCTGTTACTTTATTATTTACCTTCACTTTATTTTCTGTTTTCCTAAGTGTTAGTTTTATCATTCCTATTATTTTTTTCCAAAACTTCTAGATTTTTTAATGCTTTGTAATTTTTTTTTATTCCATCAAATGTTTGCTTAGATGTATGTAGTGCCGATGTAAATATCTGTTTCATATCATTAAGACACTAATTTTCTCGGTTGCATAAAAATGAATCATACAGGCTACGCCCTTAATAATATATGTTTCATTATTAATTTGTTTTACATTTTAGTGACATTTTCAAGACAAATAAGGTCCTGAGTTGTTTCCAAGAGGTTATTGACAATATCTTCCTCCCATTATTTGAAGTGACAGCTAAACCAAGCTCCCACCCGGAACTCCACAACTTTCTTCAGTATGTCATTGGATTTGATTCAGTAGACGACGAAAGTAAACCAGAAAAGAACCCATTATTTGACAAAGACACCGCTACTCCTGATAATTGGAATGACGTAGAAAATCCTAACTATGCTTATTATTTGTATTACATGTACGCTAATTTAACGATTTTAAATCATTTTAGAAACGAGAAAGGTTTGCATACATTTGTTCTTAGACCACATTGTGGTGAAGCTGGACCAGTTCAGCATTTAGTATGTGGGTATATGCTTTCTGAGAATATTTCCCATGGATTGCTTTTGAGAAAAGTTCCAGTACTGCAGTATTTGTATTACTTAGCGCAGATAGGTATTGCTATGAGCCCTCTTTCTAACAATAGCTTATTCTTGAACTACCACCGCAACCCTCTACCCGAATATTTGTCGAGAGGACTAATGGTTTCATTATCTTCGGACGATCCGCTACAATTCCATTTTACCAAAGAACCGTTGATGGAAGAGTACAGCATTGCTGCTCAAGTGTGGAAGCTGTCCAGTTGCGACATGTGTGAATTGGCTAGGAATAGCGTCTTAATGTCTGGATTTTCTCACAAGACTAAGCAGTACTGGTTGGGTCCAAATTATACCAAAGAGGGTGTTGCTGGTAACGACATCGCTAGAACAAACGTACCCGACATACGGGTTGCTTTTCGCTATGAGACACTTATTGATGAGCTGTCGAATATTTTCAAACCTCATCAACAAAAACATTTTTAAATGGTTGTCATAACCTTTACCTTCCTAAATTTTTACAACAAATATTTCTAAAACTGTGAAACTAGTTTAAACATGTAAGCACCACTGAAATTTCTTTAGCATTAAAAAATACTCTCGTTTCAAAAATCCGATCAGAATAATATAAATACTTATTAAAAATTGTCATAAAGTATACTTTTATATAGTGACAAGTGACACTTAAAGTAGAACGCCGGAAAAGACAAATTTAGGTCAGAAGTAACAAGATAAATGGAGGTAAATAACAGACAAATAATATATTGGATCTGTGTACATTTTGCAAGGTACAAGTGAAGGAAAAGGGCCCCAGCACGAAGAAGAACATCCTGACTTGCTAACCTGAGAGCATCGTATAGAAAAACCTCAACACAGCTATTTCGTATAGCAAACAACAAAATAATCATAGCCAGAATGATCGCCAACGTTCGGAACGAACAGGCACCCTAAGAAGAAGAATCGAAAAACTTCAGCAATGAAGTCTATCTAAGATTAGAGTTAAATATACATGGTTAGATTTATAAAATTATTAAATTAGTATTCACTTGTACTATATATCATGTAATGTTTAACATATTTGTAAGTATTGTTTTTGAATAACCGTTGTCAGTGAGGGATGTCATACTATTAACAACTGTGACGTAACTTTTAAAAAATTAAGACAGCTTTGAGACGCATAACTGACAAATATGTCATATGTCTAATATGTGACAAGACCGCTACGTCATACCTACTAATTGGTATCGAATAATATCACTTAATAAAGTAGTATTAATAATATTAATATGATTATTATTTTAATTTATAAATAATATAAATTATATAATACTTCTACTGGAATTTTGATGTTTACCACAACTAATCACAGAGTTTACTCACCTTTATCTCAATCGTAATATTTGAACTTAATACAACGAACTTTAAAGATTCCCTTAGATAATAGAACTTAATTTTAAATTATTTTTCCTCTTCTCTATCAAAGAAGTTTATTGACGTTTAAATATGGCTTCCACATTTAGAATTCAACAATAAACGAAATCATGTGGCCAGGTTCTAAATAAAACAAATTGCCCATATCTTTCCTATAGCAGGTAATTTTAAACTCCCTAGTTTAATTTCTATTTTGCACAGTTTTAGAAAGATTATGAACATAATAGTTTAAAAAACGTTCTGAGCATTTAATACATTATATTCAAATTTGTTCTAAAAAATAGTGTAGTGAAGCAAAAGGTTAAAAATAGAATGTAAGTTATTTTATAAGCCATAAAAAACCCATTTAAAAATATATAATTCGTTCACGAAAATTAGTATTCGTTTAGTATACTTAAAGTTTTCTGTCTAGAATATCTGTATTTACGAGAGTGGTTTCTCCTAAGATAAAGAAGGAGAGAGGTCAGGTAACGCTCATTTAAGAAACCTTCACAAAGTGAGTCCATTTTCGATGTGACCGCCATGTTCTGGTGCCTGTTTAACTCAACATATATAGCTGCAACGTTCGAGGTCACTTCATCGATAAAGGGAGGAGCCATTAGTCAGTTATATGCAAGCGCCCCAATCGTAAACATCCATATACTTAACATTGAACACAAGTTTTGGCGCGTTTGCAACGTTGTCAGATAACGTCGTAGTAATTCGTGAAATAGTTATTGTTTGTTGAATTTTCATATTTAAAACTTCTTCTTCTTCAAGTTCCACTCCTATCGGAGATTGGAAATCATTCTGGCAATTATAATTTTATTGGTTACTCGCCTGAATAGTTCAATTGAACTGCATCCAAACCACTCACGGAGATTGCGTAGCCACGAGATTTTACGTCTTCCTACGCTTCTTTTACCTTTGATTTTACCCTGCATTATGTTCCTTAGTAGTTCGTACTTTTCACCTCTCATGATGTGCCCCAAGTATTCCAATTTCCTGATCTTTATGGAATTTAAAACTTCGCATTGTTTTCCTAGTTGTTCGAGAACTTGTTCGTTTGTTTTGCGATCCATCCATGATATTTTCAAAATGCGTCGGTAACACCACATTTCGAATGCTTCTAGGCATTCGAATATTTAAAACTAAGAAGCTCTAAAATAATCCATTTTTATCAGATTATTTTTACAACCGTTGGAAACAATTTATTTTAGCTAAATATCGCAATTCTCAATATGAAACAAATTTAGCTTTTTAATTTAATAGACATTCATTCATTCAGTTCATTTTAATAATTATGACTAATAACTTCAGCAAATAACATATTTTATTAATTACCTCAAACATTTTAACTTTAATATTAGTGCTCTGAAAATAAATATAATTATAAACTCATTACAGTAATTATATATTACAGTTCAATACCTTTAAAATAATATTCGATTAGGCAACACCGCATCAACCAACGTCTGTCGTGTCTGGTCGTGTCAAATCGCCACCGTTGCAGTTAAATCTGTTGTTAAAGATGTACGTTGCCCATTACTACTTCTCGCAGGGTTACCAAGTCTACTGATTTTTCAGTAGATCTACTGATTTTAACTTCAATTTACTGATTTACTGAAACACTATATTGATCTACTAAAAAATCTGTAATGATAAAATCATGTTCAAAAACTGATCATGGTCAAGGGTTTCCCGTTATCCTAACCTAAATAAGAAAATACACTGATTTTTTTTTTTCTTTTTTTTTTTCTTTTCGGAAGAGTGGTTGAGCCTTTTTTATATGAATGTGGTCAAGTGCATTATCTTAATGGAAGAAAATTTGTTTATCACACCAATTAAGGCGCACTTTTGGTGTCAATTTTTTTTAAGTAGTCAATGAGAATAATACCTACCACACCAAAAAAAAAAAACAATTTCCATCACCCCTCCGGTAGCTTCTTCGGTTACGTTCGTTGACAATTACAGGTTTTTCTGCATTGCTTTTACTGTTCTTTCGTTTCCAAATTGGAAATTACCAATAAATATATTAGATGACAGAAAGCCCACAAGAAAATAGTTTCAGAACTATATTAATGTAAACAATCTTGTCAGTATAAACAATTGCTGATAATCCGTTATATCTTAGATTATATATCCAAAGATGATATAGGAAATTGCTCTAAAACTGTTCAACTTGTTTCTTTATTTCATGATTTTTTACAATGTTTTGTTTATTTATTTAGTATTTAGTATTTTATGCAAGTAGAATATTACTCAAACACGTTTACCAGGATATTGGGTTTGAAATTTCCGCGGGAGCTATATGTGAGCTACATGTGAACTTCAGTTCTCCTGAAACATCAAGACGAAGCAGAACTAATCTGACTTGATAATAGCAAGTGTGACCTTGCCGAAACGCGGTCAAAACAATAGTTTTTCTAAAAACCAAAACTACTTAACGCGGAGTCAAACCCGGAAAACAACTGAAATCATATATATATATATATATATATATATATATATATATATATATATACATTTATTGAGACCTTGTCCAATTATGCTAATTTTAAATACTTCTATTTCTATTTATCGTCGGCCACGACTTGTCCGTGAAAGGAATATGTTCTTTTGTTTAAAATTATGGGTTTATGCCAGACAGAAAAGTTTAAGTATTATGAATTATGTATGCGTATAAATGTTTACTATTTAAGTAATTAGCTGGTTTAAAATATACATATTGTGCTTACATGAACCAAATATTAAACAACAAATAACTGAAAATTTTCTTTTATTATGTGACGTATTTAATTAAAAAATCAATGAAGTTATTTTAGATTTAGTGTCTATGTAGAAAGCATACCTAATAACTTGGCAGTTATTTATACTTGACTAATTTTAAATATATCTAACATTTTTATTAATTAAATATAATCTTGACAGTCCTATGGTACTTTGAATGATAACTTAATTTTTAGTTAATCAAAATGTGTTTAAATACCTTGAAGAGATTATTACACTTGATGCTTCAGATAATGCTGCCATTGAAAGTAGATATTCAAAATTAGAAGCCTCATTATATCTGTACAAAAACAGAATCTTATTTAGAAAACTTAAAACTCTGTCACTATAATACAGTGATCAGATTGTCACTACAGAATCCGAATGTTTAAATATGGTAAAGAAAGGGCCATTACGAAAACTCGAAACAAAAAGATAGGAAACATTGAGAAAAACCTCCGAACTGATCAATGAAAATTAAGAATTCCGCCGACAAAGACACAGTTATGAGGTATATGAACACTTAAAAGACATTACCACCAATGTAAGAAAATTGAAAATGTTCCTAAATAAGCATTTATTACTCCTAATGTTTCAAATGCTTCTGTTTTATGGTCACCTAGAACGTATGAATCCTCAAAGACTTACGCATCGCATTCACTTTTCAATCCCAATAGTATCATCTTATTCAAAATGGGCAAAACAGGTTAAAAAAGATTTGCAACAATCTGAAATTCCACTTAGTGATATAAAAGATCGCCAAGGTCTCAGAAATCAGTTGAAATCTACTAAGAATACTACTAAATCTACTACTACTTATCCCTCTCACCATTTTATCTCGTCGCCCCGTCAGTAAGTGGTCATAAGAAAGGAAAAAGGAACATTCCAATAAAATGAAAACCTATTGGCAGAGGAGGAAAACTCAGTCACGAGAAATATGAAAAAATCTTCTTGGTGCGTAGTAGACCGAAACGGCAGCAAAAAAAAATCAAAATTCATTTGAGAGCTGTGACTTAAATGTATTTAACGGTCATCGGCAGATTAAATACAATCTAAAAGAAATACTTATACAGTCATGAGAAATATGAAAAAATCTTCTTGGTGCTTAGTAGACCGAAACGACAGCAAAAAATCAAAATTTACTTAAGAGCTGTGACTTAAATGTATTTCACGGTCATCGGCAGATTAAATACAATCTTAAAGAAATACTTATGACTAATTTCAAATAACACCAAATTCCAAAAGTATCTAAAATAAGAAAAGTACAAAAAACTTGCTTGAGCATAGGTATTGTCACAAAAATTCTAGAGTATTCCTAATTTTTTAAAGAAGGAAAATAAACAAGAAGGTCGAATCAAAGATGCCATACTATTTAGTTTTTTTTTGAAAATATCAATATTAAAACAAAAAATTGTTTAGTATTCCCATAAATAATGTCATAAAAAACAAGACAAATCATTTCATATAATTTTAGTCTTTTGAAGTCATACTGGGTGTAACTCCTAAGCAGTTACTTTTTGAATGAAAACTCAAATGTATTTGCCATTCTTGACAACTTGACTTTCCTGTACATCCAATCTTCTTACACGCCAAGGTGAAAGCAGATCTGATTAAATGTACTGACAAAGACGGGGCTCAATATATTTTTTGACATTTTCTCTTGCAGTAGAAGTTCTTTGCCACGTAGAAGTTCTTAGTAGAGTTGCAGCCACAACTTCAAGTCATCCAATACCATAATGAAGAAGTAAAAACCGACATAGAGAGCATTTTCAGAGACATCGAAAAGTTACTGCTCAGTGTTCGGACTTAATCCAAACTGGCAACAACGCTCCCATGTCTCTCTGCATTTGACTCTGCAAAAGATTGCACAGAGAATTTCTTTCTCTTGCGTTTTAACTGTTGACCAAAGCAGACACACCGCTCTTTACGTTCAACTGTCGACAATCATCAGATCACGGATTAACTATTGTAGGTTATATGTTTCTTATACAAGCAGAGAGCAAATAAATAGTAATTGTATTATCTATCAAACAAATTAAAGGTATACTATTTATAATTGAAATACATTTCAACTGAGTGAGAAATACTTTATTTAAATACACACAACAAAAAGAACCACCGCTTAATGGAAATATACCAAGAATCAAAGGAATAA